TTGTTACTCGGGTGATGTTAGTGTTACCCAGGTGTAGTGGGTGTTACCTGAGTGACATGGGTGCTGATGTCTCCGTCCCTGGGTGACATGGGTGACCTTCTCAGTGACGTTCTGGGTGACGTGGGTGTTACTCGGTGACGTGGGTGACCTTCTCTGTGACGTTCTGGGTGATGTGGGTGTTACTCTGTTGACGTGGGTGTTACTCAGGTGACGTGGGTGACCTTCTCTGTGACGTTCTGGGTGACGTGGGTGTTACTCAGGTGACGTGGGTGACCTTCTCTGTGACGTTCTGGGTGATGTGGGTGTTACTCGGGTGACGTTGGCGTTACCTGGGTGACCTGGGTGTTACTCGGTTGATGCGGGTGTTACCTGGGTGACGTGGGTGACTTTCTCGGTGACGTTCTGGGTGATGTGGGTGTTACTCAGTTGACGTGGGCGTTACTCGGGTGACCTGGGCGTTACTCGGGTGACGTGGACGTTACTCGGGTGACGTGGGCGTTACTCGGGTGACGTGGGTGTTGGTTGGTTGATGTGGGCATTACTCGGGTGATGTGGGTGTTACTCGGTTGACGTGGGCATTACTCGGTTGACGTGGGCGTTACTCGGGTGATGAGGGTGTTACTCGGGCGACGTGGGCGTTACTCAGGTGACGTGGGTGTTGGTTGATGTGGGCATTACTCGGGTGATGTGGGTGTTACTCAGTTGACGTGGGCATTACTCGGTTGACGTGGGCGTTACTCAGGCGACGTGGGCATTACTCGGGTGATGTGGGTGTTACTCAGTTGACGTGAGCGTTACTCGGGTGATGAGGGTGTTACTCGGGTGACGTGGGCGTTACTCGGGTGATGTGGGCGTTACTCAGGCGACGTGGGTGTTACTCGGGTGACGTGGGTGTTGGTTGGTTGATGTGGGCATTACTCGGGTGATGTGGGTGTTACCTGGGTGACCTGGGTGTTACTCAGGTGAAGTGGACGTTACCTGGGTGACGTGGGTGACCTTCTCGGTGACGTTCTGGGTGCGGTCCTTGATCTTGCTCGGTGCGATGATCTCGATCTCGGTGGGGGAGGGCGGTCTGAGCCGGTCCGGCCCGAACGACAGCGCCACCTGCGGGATCCGGCCCACGGTGCGGTGCCGCATCAGGTCCGAGTCTGAGGTCGAGTTCACCGTGCTGGGCTTCAGGTCTGAAACGAGAACCAGGACTAAACCAGGACTGAACCAGGACTAAACCAGGACTAAACCAGGACTAAACCAGGACTGAAACCAGGACTGAACCAGGACTAGACCAGAACTGAACCAGGACTAAACCAGGTCTGAACCAGGACTAAATCAGGACTGATCCAGGACTGATCCAGGTTTAGACCACGACTGAACTGGGACAGGACAAAAACAGGACTTCATCAGGACTAAACCAGGACTCAAACATCTGTGCCTCCCGTTTCTGTTTCAGTGACAAAAGTCTGAGTCGTTCTGTCTCGTTATGTTTAATTAATCCATTGTTCTTAATCACGGCTCCGTCCTCCAGCTCCACAGACTCAACGAACCGTCGAGCACATCTGTCTCTGTCACGGGTCACACTCGGGTCGCATTCTAAACCAGGACTAAACCAGGACTGAACCAGGTCTAAACCAGGACTAAACCAGGACTGAACCAGATCTAAACCAGGAATAAACCAGGACTGAACCAGATCTAAACCAGGAATAAACCAGATCTACACTAGGTCTAAACCAGGACTAAACCAGAACTAAACCAGATCTAAACCAGGAATAAACCAGGCTTACGCTAGGTCTAAACCAGGACTAAACCAGAACTAAACCAGATCTAAACCAGGAATAAACCAGGTCTACACCAGGTCTAAACCAGGTCTACAGTAGGTCTAAACCAGGACTAAATCAGGTATAAAACAAGGACTAAACCAAGTCTAAACCAGGAATAAACCAGATCTACACCAGGTCTAAACCAGGTCTACAGTAGGTCTAAACCAGGACTAAACAAAGACTAAACCAGGAATAAACCAGGACTAAACCAGGTCTAAACCAGGACTAAACCAGGTCTAAACCAGGACTAAACAAAGACTAAACCAGATCTAAAACATGACTAAACAAGTACTAAACCAGGAATAAACCAGGTCTAAACAAGTACTAAACCAGGTCTAAACAAGTACTAAACCAGGTCTAGACCAGGACTAAACAAGGTCCAAACCAGGAATAAACCAGGTCTAAACAAGTACTAAACCAGGTCTAAACCAGGACTAAACGAGGTCTAAACCAGGTCTATCCTCACAGTAAAACTCACTGCTGGCGTTGCGTTCCTCGGCGCTCCATTCCGCTCTCATCCCGTCGATGTCGTCCAGGGAGGAGGCTCTTCGGAGGGAACGCACCGAGTCCCGCGAGCAGGAGAGAGAACCCCGCGCCAGGCCCAGGGACGGCTCCAGGCGGTCGGGCAGGGCGGGGAGGACGGGGAGGGCGGGGAGGGCAGGGAGCGCGGGCAGAGGGGGCAGGGCGGGCAGCAGAGAGCGGCGTTTGGTGCCGCTCGGGGCGGGCGGCGGCTGGTCTTGTTCGATCAAAGCTTCGGTCTCGGACTGAACGCAGCTCTCCTTGGACGGGATCCGGAACTCCTTCAGGGGGACCTCCTCACTGTTGGGCTGCAGGGGGACACACGAGAGAGGACGAGAGAGGGACATAGAGAGACGAGAGAGGGACATAGAGAGAGGACACATAAGAGAGAGGGACACACGAGAGAGGAGAGAGGGACAAGAGAGAGGACAAGAGAGGGACACAAGAGAGAGGGACATAAGAGAGAGGGACACACGAGAGAGGGACATAAGAGAGAGGGACACACGAGAGAGGGACATAAGAGAGAGGGACACACGAGAGAGGGACATAAGAGAGAGGGACATAGAGGGAACGAGAGAGGGACATAGAGAGAGAGAAGAGAGAGGGACATAAGAGAGAGGGACACACGAGAGAGGGACATAAGAGAGAGGGACATAAGAGAGAGGGACAGAGAGAGGGACACAAGAGAGAGGGACATAAGAGAGAGGGACATAAGAGAGAGGGACACACGAGAGAGGGACATAAGAGAGGGACACACGAGAGAGGGACATAAGAGAGAGGGACATAAGAGAGAGAACGGGACATAAGAGAGAGGGACATAAGAGAGAGGGACATAAGAGAGAGGGACATAAGAGAGAGGGACATAAGAGAGAGGGACAATAGACGGGGACAGAAGGGGACAATCAGGGTGAGTGTTATTTTCCAGTGTTATTCTCGTGAACTATAAAAGAAGTAGAATAAAGCTGCGTTCAGACTCTCGCTTTAGGGCAGGAGAGTCAAACTCATTTTGTTCCGGGCGTCGTGTCCAACCGACTCTGATCCCAAAGTGTCCGGATCAGAAAACTCATGTCATATAAACTCCAAAAATAACAATAAGTTCAAATATTTGTGCAGAGAAACACAAATCTATTACAGAAATCTTTTTTAACTGATGAACTCTCTTTTACAAAATATTATAATATTATGAAAAACGCAATTTCAACACAATATTTTAACATGAACTTGTATGTAAATAGGAATAAGTCAATTTTTGTTGTAAAATCCTGCACTCGGCTCCACTTTTCTCATGTTGGACATTTTTCTGATGAGGGTGTCACGGTCAACAGTCAAAACGATCGTCCTTTAAGAGCGTTTGGAAAGAGACAAGTCTTCATTTGTGCTGCTCTGGTGGGAGGGGCCACGTACAGAGACGCTGGAGACGCTGCTGTGATAAACACCACAGAAAATGAACAACATTTTAATAGAAAATATAAATTAAATATTTTAGTAGAAAATCAGCCGAGGGCCACATTAAAGGTCTTGAAGGGCCGGATCTGGCCCCCGGGCCGTATGTTTGACACCTGTGCTTTAGAGCATCGAGTATTGTTGAAATCAAGAGCGCAATAATCGAGACCAAGACCAGACCAAAACCACAGGGTCCAGAGACCAGTACAAGACCAAGATCTCTGAGGGTCGAGACCGAGACAAGACCGAGACCAAATCAAGACCATCTTTGTCATTTCCTACATTTATTTGAATTTTACAGTTATTTTGGCACACTTATATCCATGTTTTTATAAATCTATTTCCATTTGATCGGATTCATGTTTATTTACTCTTAATATAATAAAATAAAAGCAAGTAAAATGATAAATCTGTTTATTTTGTAATTCCAAATGATGTTAAAGGGGCGGGTCAGAGTCAACCAAAAGGTCGTATTTGGCCCCAGAGCTGGACAATGCCCAGGTCTGTTTTAGAGTGTCGTTTCTTACATTGAGGTTTGTGTTACAGTGTTACTGTTGTTTTACAGTGTTAATGTCGTTTTACAGTGTTAGTGTCGTTTTACAGTGTTAATGTCGTTTTGCAGTGTTAGTGTTTTTAAGTGTTTTGCGTGTAGTGTTGTTTTCAGTGTTTAAGTCGTTTTTGTTAGTGTCTTTTAGTGTTTTCGTTTTGCAGTGTTAGTGTCGTTTTGCAGTGTTAATGTCATTTTGTTTTACAGTGTTAATGTCGTTTTGCAGTGTTAGTGTCGTTTTACAGTGTTAGTGTCGTTTTGCAGTGTTAATGTCGTTTTACAGTGTTAATGTCGTTTTGCAGTGTTAGTGTCTTTTGCAGTGTTAATGTCGTTTTGCAGTGTTAGTGTCGTTTACAGTGTATGTTGTTTTACAGTGTTGTGTCGTTTTGCAGTGTTAGTGTCGTTTTACAGTGTTAATGTCGTTTTGCAATGTTAGTGTCTTTTGCAGTGTTAATGTCGTTTTGCAGTGTTGGTGTCGTTTTACAGTGTTAATGTTGTCGTTTTACAGTGTTAGTGTCGTTTTACAGTGTTAGTCGTTTTGCAGTGTTAGTGTCGTTTTGCAGTGTTAGTGTCGTTTTGCAGTGTTAGTGTCGTTTTTGTCAGTGTTAGTGTCGTTTTAGTGTTTGTCGTTTTTTTTTTTTTGTTTTTTTTCAGTGTTAGTGTCGTTTTTTTCAGTGTTAGTGTCGTTTTGTTCAGTGTTAGTGTCGTTTTTTTTCAGTGTTAGTGTCGTTTTGCAGTGTTAGTGTCGTTTTACAGTGTTTTATGTCGTTTTACAGTGTTAATGTGTTTACAGTGTTTAGTGTCGTTTTACAGTGTTAGTGTCGTTTTTACAGTGTTAGTTGTTTTGCAGTGTTAGTGTTTTAATGTCGTTTTACAGTGTTAGTGTTTTACAGTGTTAATGTCGTTTTACAGTTTAGTTGTTTTACAGTGTTAGTGTCTTTTACTGTGTTTTTACAGTGTTAGTGTTGTTTTACAGTGTTAGTGTCGTTTTACAGTGTTAGTGTCGTTTTACAGTGTTAGTGTCGTTTTTACAGTGTTAGTGTCGTTTTACAGTGTTAGTGTCGTTTTACAGTGTTAGTGTCGTTTTACAGTGTTATGTGTTTACAGTGTTAATGTCGTTTTACAGTGTTAATGTCGTTTTACAGTGTTAGTGTCGTTTTACAGTGTTAGTGTCGTTTTACAGTGTTAATGTCGTTTTACAGTGTTAATGTTGTTTTACAGTGTTAGTGTCGTGTTTACAGTGTTAATGTGTTTTACAGTGTTAGTGTCGTTTTACAGTGTTAGTGTCGTTTTACAGTGTTAATGTTGTTTACAGTGTTAATGTTGTTAACAGTGTTAATGTTGTTTTACAGTGTTAATGTTGTTAACAGTGTTAATGTTGTTTACAGTGTTAATGTTGTTTTACAGTGTTAATGTTGTTTACAGTGTTAATGTTGTTTTACAGTGTTAATGTCGTTTTACAGTGTTAATGTCGTTTTACAGTGTTAATGTTGTTTTACAGTGTTAATGTTGTTTTGCAGTGTGTCGTTTACAGTGAACTCATACTAGGATTTTTGAACTGTGCCCAAACACAGATGGTCCCTAAAGCTTTGGTACGTTTGTCCAGAGTGAGCGCAGTCAAACTGTGCTCAGGCGCGGCATGGATGGGACTTTGGTCCGATTGGAGGAGATGGGCCAAAGCACGACATGGAGCTCATGTACGGGCACATACAACTTTACTTATACGAGCCCTGTGTGTGTGTGGTGTGTGTGGTGTGTATGTGTGTGTGTGCGTGTGTGTGTGTGTGTGTGTGTGTGCGTGTGTGTGTGTGTGTGTGTGTGTGTGCGTGCGTGTGTGTGTGTGTGTGTGTGTGTGTGCTGTGTGTGTGTGTGTGTGTGTGTGTGTGTGTGTGTGTGTGTGTGTGTGTGCGTGTGTGTGTGTGTGCGTGTGTGTGTGTGCGTGTGTGTGTGTGTGTGTGTGTGTGTGTGTGTGTGTGTGTGTGTGTGTGTGCTGATGTCACTCATATGAGGAAAACAGTGAATAAAATCTGCTCCAAAACACACAGTAAACCTGCGCTCACCTTCAATAAGGACAAACAGAAGTTTATCTGCGTCTCGTCTCCGTCTGTCATCACTGCTCCTCCTGTTTTTATCTCCATAAACTCACAGAGGAGCGGATCATAAAAGGACGTACATCAGCCTCACTATTTAATAAATATTTCTGCCGCTAATAAATATTTTCTCTTCTAAAACCGTTAGCGCATGTAAACAAACAGCGGCGTGTGATGACGTCATCGGGCCGTGGTTTGGTTCAGTTGTGCAGGTCTGAGTGCAGAACATAGAACCACAACAGTCATGTTTGAGCCTGACACGGTTCTAAAGTCCTAGTGTGAGTGTCGTCTCTTACGGTGAGGTTTGAGTTAGTGTTGTTTTAGAGTGTTAGTGTTGTTTTAGAGTGTTAGTGTTGTTTTAGAGTGTTAGTGTTGTTTTGAGAGTGTTAGTGTTGTTTTGTGGTGTTAGTGTTGTTTTAGAGTGTTAGTATTGTGTTTGTTATTTTGTGATGTTAGTGTTGTTTTAGAGTTATTGTGTGTTAGTGTTGTTTTGTGGTGTTAGTGTTGTTTTAGAGTGTTAGTGTTGTTTTAGAGTGTTAGTGTTGTTTTGTGGTGTTAGTGTTGTTTTGTGGTGTTAGTGTTGTTTTGTGTGTTAGTGTGTGGTGTTAGGTGTTGTTTTTTGAGTGTTAGTGTCTTTTTGTATGTGTTAGTGTTGTTTTGTCAGTGTGTTGTTTTGTGTTGTTGTGTGTTTGTTAGTGTTGTTGTTTGTGTGTTAGTGTTGTTTGTGGTGTTAGTAGTGTTGTGTTGTTGTGTTATGTGTTGTTTGTGTGTTGTTGTTTTAGTGTTGTTTTGCGTGTTAGTGTGTTTTTAGTGTTGTTTTGTGGTGTTAGTGTGTTTGTCGTTTTGTGTGTTGTGTTAGTGTTGTTTTGTAGTGTTGTGTTTTGTCGTGTTAGTGTCGTTTTTGTGTGGTTGTTAGTGTTGTTTTGTGTTGTGTGTTTTGTCGTGTGTTAGTGTTGTTTTAGTTTTAGAGTGTTGTTTCTTACGGTGAGGTAATCGACCACGACGCCCTCAAACTGCTCCTTGGACAGACTGGACCTCCTCATGGACCTCAGCACCGGGAACCGCATCTTCAACCTCCGACTGCGACCTGAGGCACAGGGAGGGCATCAGGGTTAAACTGTCTGTCAAGACGGGGGAGGACATCAGGGTTTTTTTTTTTTACTCACAGTATAACCAGCCCTGCTCCACTCTCTGTCTCAGGCCGCTCTTCTTCAGGTTCCGGTCGAGCAGCTCCTGAAAGTCCAGGATGAACATGATGACCACGCCGTCCTCGTTCTTCACCGGGATGATGTCCACCAAACACGGCCTGCACGTGCCTGAAAACACCAGACGAAGAGGAAGAGGATAAAACACCAGAACACATTTCATATACCGTAAATTCTGGACTATAAGGCATGACTTTTTTCACACACTTTGAACCCCAAGGTGAAATAAAACGACACGGCGAATATATGGACAGAATTTATGTCAGCACAGTCAAACAATTTATCGCCGTGTGATAAAATAAAGGGTCCAGTCAAGCAGAAGTAAACATCAAGGCCAAAACTTCAAGTTAATTGCATCTGATATAAAAATGTATTGAACAGATACATATTTACTCTAGTTTTATGAAACTGTTGACCTTTTTTCTGTTCCATTTTTGGTTCTAAAGTTCCATATGTTTTAAACAGACCATGTATGAAACATGGAACAAAAATTATTTCCCAAATTTCAAAGACACAAAAATCATGTAAATAAATGGATGTATTTCATCATATCTTGTGTTATTCCATCTTTGAACTGTTGATGAAGGGACAGGATTTTTCAAAAAAAAAAATGTATTTTAAAATGATAAAAATTTTGCTTGGAAGGACTGACATATTTTATAGAAATAGTTTCCTTTCATTTTGAAGTAATATTAAAATATTCGGAAGAAAAAAGCGACAAATGATGTAAAATCCTGCACCTTCTACTTGTTTGCACAATTTTCCCTCCGTTACTTTTCCCTCCGTTACCATGAACTTTCTTAATAAAAAATCTCATGAGTCAAAAAGTCAGAGGTTTTTCAACCTAATCTTGTACCATATGGTAGAAAACTATATGAAGCAAATATTCAAACCAGTTTGTTAAGGATATGGAAGTGAGAACCAAGAGTTATCACTGTTTGGATTTATTGACCAAAAAGTGCTGCATATTTCATTCCCTCCGTTACCGACATGAGTTTTAAAAATTTTTTGTCAACAACTTGAAAGAATCTCACAGGTTTAACTTGACCCTGTTGGAGTGTAACTCTTTCCTACATTCTGATACTTTACTTATTTCAATAGTTCCTCTAGTTTCTGAATAAGAGACATTTGAATGTCAAAAATCTGCCCGTTTCCCTCCGTTAACACTTGACCGGACCCAAAAGTTAGTGAGGGGGATACGTCTTAGTCGTCTGTGTAAATGACGAGAAGAAACGTCTCAAACTTCAGTAGCCGGACATCCACTCACACCTGATCCAATCACACCTGATCCAAACACCTATCCCCGCCCCCGAGAGAGTCTGAAATCTGCTGAAATCCTCCGAGACTCTGACACGATACAGAGAGAACAGAGACTCTTTCTGCAGGAGACATGCGCAGTAGAGAACATGCTGTTTGTTTGTGTTTTGAACAGTTATTTCGTGCTTCATACACACACCCTCCTCATGGAAAACACACGAAGAAACGCACATGACACAGCTTTTAAATTAAAGATGAGATTTTGACGCAGAAAGACGACGAAAAGTTTCAGAGGCGATAAAAGCAGACGCCCAAACTTGTAAACGTTCTTGAAGACGGGGACACCTGCCGCTTATATTCAGGTGCGGCCTAAATATGTAAACACATCAGAGTTATTTGGAGCAGGAAAGACACATTAAGAAATTTCTGCCACACTGAAGCAAAATGGAATTACGACGTGCTCAGAAATGAGGATTCGAAGATTTTGTGAAGAGTCCGTGTAACATTTGTTCTTTTGAATTTCAATTAAGAAAAAAAACAGTAAAATGGGAAAACAGTTTGTTATTTCATTTTTCCATTTGAAGCCGGGTGTACACTGCGATTTTTGTCCCTTTTTGAGCCCATTTTTCAGTTAATCGTGTGTTGTGCTTCGTGGAGTAAACGTGGTGTAACGAGAACTGATTAACACCTCACAACGAAAACTTTTTGCCGTCTTGTTCAGTTGACTCTGAACTCACACACAGAACCTCCGGGGCAAATAAACCAGAGAAAATAAAAAAGCAAAATTTAAATTGTCACGATGAAATCATCATTTTGAAATGAGCTTTAAATTAAATATTGGAAATAGCGGTCGTAATCTGTTTTTTTGTTTGACACTAAAACAGAAAAATTTAATAACAAACTGTTTTCCCATTTTTATAGTTTTTTTTCTTAATTGAAACTGAAAAAAACAAATGGTACACGGACTCTAGAGCTGAACTGTGTGAATGTTTTTCACCTTTTTTAGAGTTTTAGTCTAGAACAGCCTGTATAACTCTGTGTAAATGTACCGAATAAAACGATGTGGCGAATATACGGACGGAATTTATATGTCAGCGCACTCAAATAATTTATCGCCGTGTGATA